AGAATAGAAATTGATTCAGATCTCGAATCAATAAAATCGATAGAAAGTGATGATTTCTTCGATGAAATCTATGAAGAGTATTCACCTAGCTCAGAAGAATCTGACTAAATGAATAGAGAAATACAAGAAAGAGATGATTCTGTTCAAATTCTTGAAACAGAAGAAGATCATCGAGGATATGCTTTAAAAGCAACCTTTGATGGAGAAACATTCAGAAAAATCCAAGGATTAAAACTAAATCTTAAAGTAGAAGACAACCTACTAAGCAGAATGCAAAGAATGTTTGCAAGAGATAAAATTTCTTATCATAAATATCAAGAAATAGAAAAAGTAATAGAAATTACACAAACCACAGGAAAACATAAATTAAACCTGTTAACAAAACCTATGATAGATCAAATTATTAGGAAAATTCCTGAAAGAAAAAGAAAGAAAATGAATTATGTTCATTTAGGAGGAATCCAAATACTGGTCAAATCGACTTTTAAAGAAGAAATCAACTGTCCAATAGTAATAAACTTATCGGATGAAAGATTCATAAACGCAAGAGAAGGAAATCTTGGTATAGTAGAGGGAAACCTAGCCTATACAAAACTCCTATTTACATATTATCCAAAGTATTGTATATCACTCAAAGATGCTGATTTTAATGACGCATTGAGTTTGCATTTCCAGATCAAAAGAAATGATCTATTTAAACCAGGTAATCATATTATGAGTATATATTACCAAGCATTATACACAGTTACAAATTCAAACTATGGTAAGGTGTATAAAAATAAAGGAATGATCGAAATAGATCAAGAATGTGTAGGAATTGCAAGAATAGTTGAAGCAGAAATTCAACAAGCCCATATTCCAGACGAATATGAAATTCGATTTGGAAAAACACAAGAAATTGGAAGTACTAGTAACCCTAGGCTTTCGATAGAATATGGAAGAAATTCTATTAGAAAAAGTATATCTAACAGATATCATAAAAAAATAGAAACTCCAAATATAACAAAAATAAAAGGAAGAATGTTCAATGGAATAGAATGGAAATATCAAGAAATCTTGATACAAACAGGAGCAACTGCTAACCACGTAAAAGGAATCCTAATAGATGGAATACCTGTTTACGAAGGAGAGCATTATACATACAAAACCTTTGAAGGTAATAACTTTAGTTGTAAAAACATGGTAGACTTACCAATACAACTAGATACTATAAGGATAACAGTTCCTTGTTACATTACGAATCACGAAAGTGATCAAGAATTAATTTTAGGAAATCTATTCCTAAATAAATTAGAAGACTATGACATCAATAAAAATGAAATAGAATTCTTAGGAATGATTATTTCAAAAAATGGAATCGAACTCCAATCACACATATCAAAAAAGATAGTAGAATTTCCTAATAAATTAACAACAAAACAAGAAATTCAAAAATTTCTGGGTTGTTTAAATTACGCAGGAGAATTTATTCCGGATTTAGCGAAAAAACGGAATATTCTACAAAAACTTATAAGAAAATCCAACAGACTTGGATGGACCGAAGAACATACACAGTGTATAAAAAGTTTAAAAGAAGAATGCGCTAAGTTACCAAAACTCAGATTACCAGAAGAAAGTGATAATCTAGTTTTACAAACTGATGCATCTGATTATCATTGGGGAGCATTATTGCAAACCGATTTAAATGAAATTTGCAGGTACACAAGTGGTACTTTTAATGATGCAGAAACAAGATATTCCACTAATGAAAAGGAATTATTAGCAATTGTTGGAGGAATCAGAAAATTTTCTGCTTTTCTTCTACCAAAATAATTTGTTATTAGAACTGATAATACTCAAGTTTCAGGGCTAATATTTAATAAGCTACCTTCCAAACCGCAATACAGAAGATTGCACAGATGGCAGGTGTTATTATCTTTCTATTCATTTTCAATAGAATACATTAAAGGAAATGATAATTTTCTTGCAGATTTCATCTCTAGAAACGTCCAATATGGACAATCAGACAAAAATCCTGATGAACAGGATATATGAAGGAATGAAGAAAGTGGATGAGTCCATTGATGAAAAAAGCCAAAAGCTTTTCAAAATAACGAGCTATCAAGGTTGTCTGAACAATCTCGGATGTTACAATCTGAATTAAATCAGCTTAGTACTACTCAAGCTGAAAACATGAGAGAGTTTTTACTCTTGTGTGAGCATCTGGACACACGTCCAACACAGAATTCAAAACTGAAAGGGAATTTTAATCCCAACAAAGTGGCAGGAGATGTCCCACCAGCACCTAGTGCCAAAAACATCTCAATGGTAAGCAAGGATATGCCAATTCCTGAATCGAAAGAACAGGAAAAAAGCCTAGCAAATGAAGCAACAAGCTCATCATCAGCAAAAGCTGAAAGAATTATATCTGGGAAACCAGAAAGCAAGACTAACCAAGTTCCATCAGGAACAAAAGTTTTTTCTTCTTTTCAGGTTGGAAAGGAACACCCGAAGGAAGAAGAGTATCTTGCTTTTACCAGATACATCTATAATCTCCCAGAAAAAAGTGGAGAGACGTACGGTGTTTTAGGAACAACAAGTTTGTTTCCTAGAATGTCAATCTTTCCTAATGGAATACCGGGCTTTACAGCTCAATTATTTGAATTTGGGTACTTAGATCGTGTGTATACAAAACCGGATCTAAAAGAACTGTCCCAACTTCCATCAAAATTGTTCGAAGCAATTAAAAACTTTGCTCAAGGCAATGGAGTTTACTGCAGATTCTTCAGCATATCAATGGAGTGTCAAGATTTGCAGGCGTATTATCCTACTCTCAATTATATTTCAGTTGAGAAAATTAAAGAATTTAATGTTAAGGCTACCGGAGTTGATAAAAAACTTCCTCACCTTAATAAAAAATGGATTCAGACTAGAAGAGCGTTGGGAATAAAAGCCTTATACGCTATTCTTACAAGATTTTACAAAGAAGATTGTAGAGTCATCGATCAAGACAGCGATTGGGTCTTGATTACTAAAGGTAAAACTAAGTCCAAGGAACTTAAAGAAAGGATACTCGATATAGAACTTCACAGGCTAGGAGCCACTAAAGAAACATGGAAACTAGCATGCAAAATGCTAGATCATGATCATGCCTGATTAGCATAAGAAGAAGACAAGGAAGATGACGTAAGCACTTACGTCAAGAAGCATTAAAGAAAAGGAATCCTTTTCTTTTCCTCAAAGACAAAAGAAAGGTCACATCATGTCGGCCAATAATTCAAAAGAAGACAATGGAACGTCCATTATTTTATCACAAGGAATCTTCCGGCCCCAGCAATCAAGTAAAGCTAAGGACTAGAAGATAATTATGTAATATTTTAGGGAAGTCCCTAAAATATTATTCTTTTGTAATAAGTCCCTCCTTATATCTATAAAAGGAGAGGAACTTCATACAGAAAAGGCAGACTACATTTTCTCAGAAAAAACCCATCTTAGAAAAATGTTAGGTACCTTTAAGTATGAAGAGGGTGAGTGAGTAGTAACTTCTCCCGCTAGGGAAAAGTATATGTTTATGTTTTGATTAAGTAGGTAGTATATGTGTGTATGTAAAAATCATATTATGAAATAAAAGTTGGTTTCTATACCCTCTTTCTCAAAACTCCATTAATAAGTCTTAAGTGAAGGTTGCGATCTTCAGCCTAAAGGAGGAACAGTAAGAAGTAGTCAAAGACTGAGGTCGTTAGGACGAAAATTGTTCATGGCCTGAAAGGAGAGCTGCTGCGGTGGTGATAGGACTATTTATCGAGTAAAGAGAAGGAAGGTATACACGCAAACTTTTGGTTACATAATATATTTTTCAAATACACATATAATACTATACTAGATTAAACAAAAAAAATATACTTAGTACCTGTAGGGAATCAAAAATAATATGAAGAATCATATTAACAAAATCAATCATGCTATTTGCATATCATGCCATGTTAAAATGCTTATATTAGCATAAAAAATGAATCAATTTCTATTCTATCTATCTTGGAGATTTTGACTCGTTTTTTGTTACATTCGTAACTTTTATGGCCTTCTTCGCCACAATTATAACATTTGCATTTATCTGCAGGTTTTGTTTTTGAAAATTCTCTTTTCCTTTTATAATATTTTTTTAAAGCATATATATATATATTTAGCTCTAAATCAAATAGAAAAGTAAAAAAAAAAAGTGATACATTGCAAAAGATGAGGAATATTATGAATTTGTACACTTTTTCTGAATTATTGTACTTCTTCCGTTTAAAAAAGAATGACCTATTTTCCTTTTTAGTTTGTTTAAAAAAGAATGACCTCTTTTTTTTTTGGTAACATTTTAATTTCAACTTTCCACGTGGCATGTTTAAAGCCACAAGATTGAAGGGCAATTTAGTACATTTGACATAACTTTAATTTAGGACCACAAGATTCAAAAGTCTTATTTATTTTTTAAAACTTTGTGCCAAGTCAAACTAGCTCACTACTCTTTGTGAAACGGAGGGAGTAATAACTTGACCAAATTCTTCTGCACTGACCAAATCTTTTGCTTTCCTACCTATTCACTTTCACCATAAGCACTAGTCATGTCACAACTCATGTGAAATACACTCAAATCGATTATAAATCAGTTATAAATAAAATTTAGCAAAATTTTAAATGTATTGTTATTTTAAGAACAACAATTAACTAGTAGTTAATTTTAAATCTTATTTCCTCAACTTTTTTATTTTGATTTCACAATATCTAGAATCAATTTAAAATGTTAAATTCCATTTTTATCCGAATCCTCTATTTAACGAAGCAAATAATAAATTTTGGACTTTCACAAGTGTAACAAAGTTGGACACATATTTTTGGTTACTTAAAAGAGTTATAAAAAGTATATAAAACATCCTTTTCCAACTTTGCTTCTAATTCTATTTTTTTCATTCGTACCTTCCTCCTTAAGCAAAAAAAAAAATTAAAAAAATTCAGTCTTTGTTCTTAATTGTCTTCATACAATTAAAATTTTGCCTAAACTGCAGATTTTCAGCAAATTAAAAGGTAAAAGTTTTTATTACTTCACTTTTTTTTTTTAAACTTTTTTTCATTCATTTAGTTGTGATTTTGCTTCTGCATTTGCTCTGCAAATTGAAGGTAATTTTATGAGTATTTCTGTTCTGTTATGAAAGGATTATTTATTTTTAGTCCATTTAGAAAAGAATGTATTTTTTAGGGGCAACTATTTTATTTCATCTTTTCGTATAGTATGTTTAAGATTACAAAGTTAACAAATATTTTGGTGAATTCTACGTATCTTTAGTTTAAGAACATATAAATATAATCAAATTGAAACAAAGGAAGTATTTTAAAAGTATTCGTATATAATCTAGACAAGGTGGGAGTGGCGGTGGTGGAGATGGGCGAAGATCACGTGTGTTGGAGGGTGGGGAGGATATAGAATATATTCAATGTGTAATGTCATTTGTAGAAGTTGTATTTTGCACCCATGGGTTAAAAAAAGAGGATTTTTTTTTACTGTTAATTGTCATTTGTTGTTTCATATTATGTCATGTGATTAGAGACAGAGTCAGGATTTGAAGTATATGAATTTTAACGTCATGATTTGAAGTGTATGGGTTTTGAACTTGGAACCGAACCCATAGCTCGTATTAGTTACATAGTTGTGGTGATGTCAGGAATGTACACTTGTTTGTATCTATTGTGTGTTTAGTCCACTTAGATGAAGGATTGTAGTTGAATGAAACAGTACGCGGAGTATCCGCTGGCGCCCTTTCCAGGCACTTACTGAACCTGCTGACACTTGTGAAAAGTGAAAATGCAAAAGCGGCGGCCTTCTTGTTCAAACTTAGTATAAATGTTTTGTTTTGAAATAGTATGTGTATATTTGTATCTTGGTTCAAGTTTTATGCACTGATGATGTAAAAATTGTTTACACTATCAAGTCATTTAACTCTTGGTACTTGATTAAAGTTGGTTTCTTTTAATTGGAAATATGCATTCGAAACAGGCAGAGGGAGCTGATTGTTGTGTTTCTTGACCAGTTGTGGCTAGTTGCGATTATGGGGTTGTATGCTGTGGCGAGATTGGGGGTGAGTATATTGTCGAATGATGATCAGGTTTCTGTGGATTCCATAACTCTGTTTGTGGCTCTTCTTTGTGGATGCATTGTGATTGGTCATCTTCTTGAAGAGAGTCGTTGGATTAATGATTCCATCACCGCTCTGGTTATTGTGAGTCTTTTTTCCTATACTGAATCAATGTTGTATGTATGCACATATATAAAGGACACTGCATGTACGAGCTAGAAGAGGGATGCCCTTTAAGATTTGAATTCTGCACCTAAGTGGCCTAGAGTAAAGTTGTAACCACAAGACTGCAATTTTAGCTCGAGCACACACATATAAAACATAATGTTACCTCATCTACGAGCTAGAAGAGGGTTGCGCTTAGTAAGATTAGAATTCTGCACCTAAGTGGCGTTGAGTAAAGTTATAACCACAAGACTGCAATTTTAGCCCGAGCACACACATATAAAGCATAATTTACCTCATCTATGAGCTAGAAGAGGGATGTGCTTAGTAAGATTTGAATTCTGCACCTAAGTGGTGTTGAGTAAGGTTATAACCACTAGGCTGCAATATTATCCCGAGCACACACATATACATGCATAATGTTACCTCATGTACAAGCTATAAGAAGGAGTGCCCTTAGTAAGATTTAAATTTTGCACCTAAGTGGCGCCAAGTAAAGTTTTAATCACAGTACTGCAATTTAGCTTGAGAAAACACATATACATGCATAATGTTACCCCTTATACGAGCTAGAAGAAGGAAAACCCTTAGTAAGATTTGAACTTTGCACCCAAGTGGCGTGAAGTTGTAACCAATAGGCTGCAATTTTAGTCCATGCACACATTACATGCATAATGTTACCTCCTTGTACGAACTAGAAGAGGAATGCCCTTAGTAAGATTTGAACTCTACGCCTAAGTGGTGTAGAATAAAGTTGTAACCGCTAGACCACAACTTTAGTCTGTGTAGACGCATATACGTTCATGAATGATGATATTTTTGTGAATTTTCTTCAACACATTTTTATAGTGGACTATGCTTTTGGATTTTGCTGCAATGGACGATCTTTGTTGTTCTCGTGGCAGGGTTTATGTACAGGAGGCATCATTTTGTTAACTACTAAAGGAAAGAGCTCTCATCTCTTAGAATTTGACGAACAACTCTTCTTCATTTATGTTCTGCCACCCATCATATTTAATGCTGGGTAAGTTGTTTTCTTCTTGCCTTTATAGTGACATGTCAATTTTAATGGGGTTGCCACAGTTATTTGAGTTCGTTTATTGCATTGTTGCATATTACAAGTTTTGTTCTCCCTAATCTGAATATGGAAGAGAAAGAACATTTAGACTAAGGTGTTTAGCCCAAAAAAGGTACAGTTGAATACTTGAATTTATACGCGAGGTCTAAGGACACATGGATTGAGTTGACGAAAGTATAAGACTAGAATGCTATAAACTGTTGAATCAGTATGAACAAGACAAAGAAAATAACAAAATGAAGCATTTCAGTTTAGAAAATGTGAAGAGCCTGAATTCCAGATCTTCTAGCTATCACCAGATATCTTGACTTTATTGGTAATTCCTTATAACAAAGGAGCTTAGTATCTTGACAAAATAGAAGTAAGATGATAGTATAAGACTTGTGTCATGATCAGAATCTCATCATTACTAACAGAAGATACATGCAGTATTTATAGCTGAACGTCCAAGGACAAGACTTACGAAATACACCCCTTCTAATAAAACCTATTAATTTCTCATCAATTATCATAAAGCAACGGTTAGTGATTCCATAATGGCTATATTCTTGATCCTGTTCTAACCGGTTGCCGAGTAATATTCAATCTCATGTTTTCGGAGCTAGATGGACCTTACGGATGTGGCACTGATCACTTGTCCAGATCCTGTATAAAGAAGACTGCTTCCACCAAGCACACTTAGAAAAGATGCCATGCGTATCATCTACTGATCATGTCCTAATTCCTATGCGTTCCTTTTGCCACGTTTCACTTCCTGATTGGTCCGAGTCTAGAGCCTGATTTTTACCGTATACTGTATACATAAGGATTGTCCACATTAACGCCTGCTGTTGTTATTGATAACTGACAATTAGACAGAAAACAAAAAAGAAAAGAGCTGCAAGTTTTTTAGATGTTAAATTCTATGAGACTGACTTCAGCATTTGCACCTCATCAGTTTTCAGGTGAAAAAGAAGCAGTTTTTTAGGAATTTTATGACCATTATGTTGTTTGGTGCCGTCGGAACATTGATATCTTTCAGCATCATATCACTTGGTAGGCCATACTTTCTCAGTCCTCTTCAGTCAACTTAAGAAAGTAAATACCTTGTGTAAAGGGAGCTGGAGCGAGGTTCTTTTTCGCTTGTTCCGATGTTAAATGAGCTGAAGTTGAACTCTCATATTAACATTTTTACTTTATTAATGGTTGTAGTGATCTTGGAGGGGGAGTTGGTCTTAGGCTAGAGTTAGTTGAAATCTGAATCAATTAAAGAAGATGTGAATTAGCATTTGAATGACATGTCCTTAACTCCGTATGACAGCATCTAGTAGAGCAACTTAAAGAAGTAGGTAAGAATTTCTATGTTTACCTTATCCAAATTTCTTCTCAAGAACATTGTCCTTACGTCACAAATATTCACATTTCTTTAAAATGCTTTAACACAGTGTTAGAATGCAATTTTGCACATTTACAGACTTAAATGATTTTGAATGTGCTTGTAACTTGTAAAACACCTCCAGTTCTTTATTTGAAAGGCACATTCATGTAGGTGCTTTACTCAAGCTGTTATGACTTATGATCAAGGATAGTGTATTTGTCGTTCTCAAAAGAACAAAAAGAAAGAAGAAGATCAAGGTTACAGTATTTGCATATTCCAAATGTCTTGTCCTTTCTTCTACTGCATACAGCAAAATGGTTTCTTAATAGTTAAATTCTTCACCGTGTAGAAGCCAAAAATAATTTACTAGTTATCAGGTTTTACCAATGGTTCATTTTCGTCCTTCCTCCTTGAGAATTTCACTAGTTGTTGATTTTGTTTTTAGTTTTTACATGGGATATCTCTCTTGGTCGCCCTAACTTGAAAATTTTGTTTTAGGCGCAAAGGAGTTATTGGGAAAGCTTGATATTGGCTTTCTGGAGCTACGAGATTATCTCGGTACTAGTCTTTCCTCTTCTTTCGATTGCAGTTGATGTTTCAGGTTATCACTTGTAGATGTTATACTTTTGGTTGTTACAACAGGGCCTCATTTGCTTAAGAGTAAGCAAAGGAGAAAAAATGACTAATATGAGGGTTAGGAACAAAATATTGTGTTTTATGTATATATATATTGGTTGTAGTATCTCATTAACACAAGGAAAGCTTCTATGCAGTAGTAAAAAAGTTTCAAAAGATATTTTAAACTATGAGTTTGACTTCCACCTGTAATTTCTTAGTGTTTTCTTGGATCCCTTATCTCTCGCCGGGTCTCCACCTCTGCCACCGTGGTACCATAACCTTGTGAGAGTATTTTCTTAGTTTGGATTTGAGTGCGTAAGAACTATGTTACTCGGACTCTTCAAAAATGTCAACATGTGCATGTTTGGATCCTCCAAAAGTAATGCCTTTTTGGAGGATTCGACACAGGTGTGACAACATTTTTGAAGAGTCCGAGCAACATAACCTAAGAAGTAATCGTCATATAATAATTTGATTTAATGATATGGATAAAATTTAAGCTCAGTCTTTCTGCGGATGGCATTTTTCTGTAAATTGATTTTGACCTCTTATCTTCTGATAATTTCAAATACTTTTTTCGTAGCGATTGGAGCAATTTTTTCAGCAACAGACTCTGTTTGCACCTTGCAGGTATGGATTTCCTCCAAATGTTGCGGCTGTACTGTGGTAAAATGGATAATTATTGAGTTAGCAACTTGTGTAAACTGAATGTTATGAGTTTAATTCTCAGGTGCTTAATCAGGACGAGACGCCTCGACTCTATAGTCTAGTCTTTGGGGAAGGGGTGGTAAATGATGCAACATCTGTGGTGCTCTTTAATGCGATCCAGAAGTTGGACCTCTCCCACATCAACTCAAGGGCTGCTTTAGTGTTCGCTGGAAATTTTCTCTACCTGTTTCTTGCAAGCACTTTCCTTGGAGTTTTGGTGAGTAGCTCACTTTCTTGCTTTATGTTTTACGCGCATTTGCCAATCCTTTCTACGTTTGTCCTCTATTTTCTCACCGACAAGCTAATAAGACACGGGTCCCTCTTCAGCAGACTTTCCCTTTTTCTCATCAGGCCACAGGGTACTAACAGCCGTTTCATACTGTTGTTGTTTGCCATCCATGAGAACACCGCTTACTATCCGATTTGCATGTGTTAAGCATACCGCAATGTTCAACCTGTGCCAAGATCAAATTCTCCATAAGATTTATAGTTGCATTACCTAGGGCTTCCTTATTCGCTCGGCTCCACTATCTTGTGGAAATGGATCCCATTTCTCTTTTCAGTGATGCCAAAACAGCTGACATTATTTGACTTGTATTAACCTTCTTTTTTTTTGGTTGTATAAGAATTTGTATTCATTGGCATGACATCTACTATTTCCTCTGTAATGCCTTTGTATTTTCCTGTTTGAGCAAGTCTGAAAATTTCTGATCTCTTAAGCAATGATGTTAGAACTAGGTAATTTTTTTTCTGTTTTTTTCCAGCTCCCTCGTTTGATCAGATTATGCTAACCATCTATCATTATTTACGACATCTTGCTCTTGAATGCAGATTGGATTGCTAAGTGCGTACCTAATAAAAAAGATATATCTTGGCAGGTAAGCCTGTCTTTATTCCATTTTTCTTTCTTATAGTTGTAATTTATTAATTAGTTTACTATTATATGTCTTTCGTTTCGTGTCCAATTATTAATTAATCTGATTTTCTTCAAGGCGCAAGTTTTTGGCTTACCGGTCAAGACAAGAAAAAGTGATTACAGAGCTAGGAAAATTCCCACTTATTGAATGTCATAAGCTACTATAGGAGTTTTTTTCTTGACATACTGGCCCTTGACAGCAAAGCCTTTTTCTAATTATTGTTGTTTTTCCTACTGCTCCTGCAGTTTCTTGTCCTTCAATTCATGTTACTATCTGTTGATTCCTTGTACCTTGATTATCGTATTGTTTTTGTTGAAGTACTGTTCTGTTACTACTTGTTGCTTTTGTTATTATCAGTTGTTTCTTGTACTTTTGTTACTCCTTTTTTCTGGACTGTTTTTTTCATGAGTTGAGGGTCTATCGGAAACAACCTTTCTATCACTGAGGTAGGGGTAAGGTCTGTGCATATTCTATCCTCCCCAGACCCCACTTTGTAGGACTACACTGGGTATATTGTTGCTGTTATTGTTTTTCCTACTATAAATTAAACTGAGTTTAATCAGTGATATCCGTGAAGTTTAATTCCTGAAAGCTTCTCTTTGCTTTAAAATTTTTACATTTTTTTCTGATAATGCCAATATTATTTGTAGTCACTGTGAGATAGTTGGTTTCCTAGTTCCTAATAAAAATTGAGATATTAGTTACCATTCTGACACAGGGGACTAACTATTCAAGGTAGTGAGTCTCGTCGAGGAATCTTGATTCGATGTAGTAATACTGAGTTTGGACCTATTATAAATATGATTTAGGAAAAGACTTTTAAAGAGGATTTTGGATGTTAAGAATCTGTGTTCCTTGGGTATCAACGTGTATATATCTATATGTATTTGGCATTTGTAACTCTAAAAGCCGTCCATTCCACTTGTAGGCACTCAACTGATCGTGAAGTTGCTCTCATGATTCTCATGGCTTACCTTTCATACGTGATGGCAGAAGTAAGTTTCTGTACAATTGAATAGCTGTACAGATGTTAAAACTTGTTACCTCTACGTGATGTAGTTTGTGTAATTATTGATTGTGATCATTTGTCCCTGCCTTTCAGCTGTTTGACTTAAGTGGAATTCTTACAGTATTTATCTGTGGTATTGTCATGTCACACTATACCTGGCATAATGTGACTGTTAATTCTAAAGTGACAACAAGGTATGCTTACTCAAAAATCACTTATTCCGAACGTCTTTATCCTTCTTAAGGAACTTCTCAAAGAAGTTATGTACGTGTTTCTTAGTTTAACTAATTTTATTTTTTCACAGACATGCTTTTGCAACACTGTCATTTATTGCGGAGATTTTCATTTTCCTTTATGTTGGTATGGATGCCTTAGATATTGAGAAATGGAGATTCGTTAAAGACAGGTAAGATGTCATATCCATTTCATAAATTGTGTCTCTGAGTTCCATTTATTGGCCTTTTTAATCTAATTTAATTCTCATTTTGTGGATTTTCCATTTCATAGTCCTGGAAAATCTGTTGGGATAAGCGCTGCTTTGCTTGGCCTGGTTCTGGTTGGAAGGGCATGTTTCGTGTTCCCGTTGTCTCTGTTATCCAATTGCTTGAAGCGATCTGAGCATGACAAGTTTGGTCTCAAACAACAGGTTATATCTCATTTGTTGTCCTAGTCCCTTGCAGCCGGTGTTGCTAAATCTTACCGGAATAATAATAAATCATCAACTTCACAGGTTACAATATGGTGGGCTGGTTTAATGCGAGGATCTGTTTCCATGGCATTGGCTTATAACCAGGTCGATTCTTTGAACTTATCAGCTCTTCTTCTAAAATGTGTATGGCGCATGTGTCCTTTGGGGACAATCCGATAAAATTGGAATTTTCAGTACGTTACAGTTTGTTTTTTGTTTACCCGAAATAAGTGAGGGTAGGATACGGAAAACTCAAAACGTATCTTGTTAGTTAAATATATTAGTGCAAATCTCTGCTGCAATGCGCTCTTTTACTCCTTTCTCACTAAAGGCTTTTTCAGAAAGAATGTATTTGTATTTTAAAAGTGACATCGCGTTTATTGAAGTGTGATTCCTGCGTGCAGTTTACAAGGTTTGGCCACACCCAACAGCCAGGAAATGCAGTTATGATCACCAGCACAATTACAATAGTCCTCTTCAGTACAGTGGTAACTTCGTCTTTCCTTTCTCCAGCTCTTTTTTTTTAATGTATATATACTATATGTTGAATCCCCTTGATTTTTTCGTGTGTTTACCTTTTTATATTTTGACGTTCGTTTGTGAAAATCTTGGATCCGTCATTGCTAGCCCTTACCCCAAAATGAGATGAAACAATAGTCCTCACATATATAAAAATTTGTATGCATTCATTGGAAGATAAGAAAATTCTCAAGTCGACATTCTTCATTTACAACAACAACAACACTTCAGTCTTAAACAAGTTGGTGTCAGCTATATGAATCATCACTGACCATGTTACTCCATATAAACTCATCTCGACCATAGTAAAACTAAGAAGTAGGTAGAAGTTATAGTGAGTTAACTTTGATTGAGCTAAATCTAATTGTTTTGATCCCTTTTAGGTGTTTGGGTTGATAACCAAACCTCTTGTAAGGTTCTTGTTGCCTTCATCACAAGGTTTCAACAACCTGATCTCTTCTGAACAATCGTTTGCACGCCCACTTCTCACTAACGGGCAAGAAGTCGAAGTTGAGATGGGAAATGTTGATCCCTTACGACCATCTAGTTTGAGCATTCTACTGAAGGAACCCTCTCACACTATTCATAACCATTGGAGAAGGTTCGATGATGCTTTTATGCGACCCCTATTTGGAGGCAGGGGATTCGTGCCCGATGCACCTGAGTTGTCAAAGGGAGGATGTGATCAATATTGACAGTGTAAAAGCAGCAGAGTTTCTTCAATTTGCTGTTAAACTTACTGACTTCAGTGTAAAGTTCTTTAACTATGATCAAGGGCGGAGCTAAGGGGACGAAAGGGGGATTCGTCCAAGTCTTCTTGGTTAGAAATTTACATTGTATATACAATGTCGAAACTGGTTATTATGTATATCTTTTTACTACTTTATATTTTGAATTTCCCTTGGTGAAAACTCTGGCTCTGTCACTGAGTTCCATGATATCGTAGATAGTCATCCAATAGTGAACTGAATTCCTAATTATATGCTTGTATAGTTGTATATAGCATAATATTTGGTGTGATTTTATGATTTGTAACATGTATCATTGACTAACACAATTTTTACTTTCATTAGCATTTTTTTTTCTCATTGTATCTTTGTTATTAGTCAAACTAAACACAGAATATAATTTATTTAATACTTTGTCGGATGAGAATCATTGTGGGCGTTTGGTCTAGTGGTATGATTCTCGCTTTGGGTGCGAGAGGTCCCGAGTTCGATTCTCGGAACGCCCCCAATTTTTAATCATCATTTTTTGGTGCTTCGAATTAGCTCGTCGCGATGAAATCCGTTGAACTTGTTTTATACGATAGTAAATTTAAATTTAACAAGTTAGATCATATGATTTTATTTCTCAATCATTCTTACTTGCTTCTTTCACCCTTATTGGTTGAGAATAAGTTACATCGAGATACTATAGGGTCATTATACTCATGATGAAACTTCTTGAAGATACAGTAAATCAAAGAGGAAATGACACAAAATACAACAACCTCCTATTATTCTATGAGCTTTTAAGTAAACATTTGGCAGTCTTTTAAAAATTATAAGGAGTTGTTTGATAAAGGTAAATTATATATGTATTAAATTATGCATAAGTAATATCATGTTTGATAGTTGATTAGAAGGTAAATTATCTTTAAAGTGCAAATCTCACATTTGTCAGATGTTTAACCATGTTTTATTGTGAAATCTGAAAAAAAATAAAAAATGATTTTCAATGTAAAAATGATAAAGAGCATTTGAAAATTGGAAAAAAATGATTTTTTTTTTTTTTTATGATAATGCTTCCTTGATATCTAACAAAATCACGAGATTTTATTTCAATTTCCATATTACCGTTTAATATATGCAACAAAGTAAAGTTTTTTTTTTTTGTTTTTTTAATAATGGTAGAGACTATATGCTACTTCCTAGCTCCATTAACGCTATAAAAAGGGACAGCTATAAAAATGCATTGAGGAATGACGATCATTCATAAGGCATAAAACGCATGCCTCAAATGCGATTTATGAGAAAAATTTAAAATTTTTAAAGATATACCGTCCAACAGGTAACATAGAATATTAGGTTATTTATTCCAATATATAATATTATACTTAAGTAAATTCATATTATTTTATTAGATTACGTATAATTTTTCTTGATATAAAATCATACCAAACACATCCCTTATACATATTTAATTGATTTCTTAATATATGTTTTGAAGATATAATGAAGTAAAAATATGCTCCCTCTAAAGGTGCAAATAGAAGGAAAAGTAATAAGCATACCGAGTGTGAACTCATAAATGGGATTTGGGATAGGTGGGGTGTACACTACCCTTACCCCTACATTAAGGAAGATAAATATGTTGTTTCTGATAAGATCCCTGACTCGAAAAAAACACTTGTTAAATGAAATTTCTTTGAAAATGTGAGGAAACATCACTTAAAGATAGAATGTATTTCATTACCATTTTTTATATTGTACAACTTGCTACTTGCTACTATAGTCATACTAAATACAATATTATTGTTTTACATATATACTATCTACAATTGAAGAGCAAATGTGGGCGTTTGGTCTAGTGGTATGATTCTCGCTTTGGGTGCGAGAGGTCCCGAGTTCGGTTCTCGGAACGCCCCCAATTTTTAATCATCATTTTTGGTGCTTCAAATTAACTCGTTTCGACGAAATCCATTGAACTTGTTTTTTACAATAGTAAATTTGAATTTTAACAAGTTAAATTAAATGATTGTATTTCTCAATCTTTCTTACTTGCTTTCTTTCACCCTTATTTGTTAAGAATAAATTACATCGAGATACTATAGGATCATTATACTCATTATGAAACTTCTTGAGAGGAAATGACACAAAATACAACAACCTCCTATTATTGTATGAGCTTTTAAGTAAACATTTTGGTAGTCTTTTAAAAACTATAAGTTAGTTGTTTGGTAGCTTATTTAAAGGTGAGTTATGTATCTGTATTAAATTATGCATAAGTAATACTACGTTTGATAGCTGATTAGAAGGTAAATTATTCTTGTGTAAGATTAATATGGTGTTTGGTTTGTAACTGGAAACTTGTATAATTAATACATGTATAAATTATGACGAAATTTATGTATTATTTTATACATGATAGAGGGTAGAGTAGTTGATATATGATAAACCCTTTGGGGTGGCTTGGTGGTTTGGGCTTGGGACTTGCATTTTGGAGGTCTCAAGTTCGAAACTCCTTGCCGTGAAAGCTAAGAGTTTGCCTTTTGGGTGTTAGCAAGGGTAACTTATTTCCTATCTATCTACCATTCGTCTACCAAACGGCCCCTGTATGCATAACTAATTCATACATTATTATATAAAATAATACATAGATTCCCTTAAAATTATTCCATGCATTATTATAACTATGGCTACAATTCCTTTTTTTATTTTATTTTTTCTTTCCTTTTTCTTTTGTAGTTCTTCAACCGCATTGTTACAACAATGTCTAATGTAGTTCAAAATGAGGTCCGAAAAAAATAAAATGTAAGCATATTTTATCTTTACCTCATTGGTGGAGAGGTTGTTTAACTTCGCTTTTATTCCAAGGCAAAAAGGCCAACTAGAAGAAACTGACAAATTATCTTTAAAGTGTAAATCTCACAACTTTATCCTATCCGAGTTTTTTGATGGAATTATTTGTTAGATGTTTGACCATGTTTTATTGTGAAATTTGAAAAAATAAAAAAATTCAAAGTAAAAATGATAAGAGTATTTGAAAATTGGAAAAAATGAATATTTTTTTTAATGCTAATGCTTCCTTGATATCTAACAAAATCACAAGATTTTATGTCAATTTCTATATTGCCGTTTAATATATGCAACAAAGTAAAGTTTATTATTATTATTATTATTATTATTATTATTATTATTATTATTATTATTATTATATATGCTACTTCCTAGTTCCATTAACGCTATAAAAAGGGACAAAAATAAAAATGCATTGGGGATCATTGACAAGGTATAAAACACATCACATCAGTCAATTTATGAACAAAATTTGAAAAATTTAAAGATAAACAGTCCAACAGGCAACATAGAATATTAGGTTATCTATTCCAAATTTCCAATACATAATATTATACTTAGGTAAATTCATATTATTTACTCTCCCTCCGTCGAAAGAAGGCCCTCATCTTTGAGTTAAGACTCAAAGTCATCCTTGAGTTTTCACATGGAGCACTTATAGTCCTCCATGTTTGCAATATTGGTGCACTTTCGATCCTCCCCTAAACTTTTGCCTATTTTTTAACATTTATTTTAGTTCATAATTTTATGTAAGGAATGTCCCATCGTCTTTTTATATATTTAGTAGAAATAATAACTCTATGTGAGAGAAGGTGAGAAGAAGAATACCTTGTTATGTTCAGTATAAAAATTACTACAGCTAAACTAAGAAAAATTTAACATATGACATTGCAAGAAAAAAAAAATATGTACTATTGCACACGAAATCATCGTGATGAACCTCTCGACTTAACCTGCAATACGATTTCTACTAAATAAAACAATGTGTTTTTCTTCTCACAATCTCTCACATGGAGTTATTATTTCTACTAATTATATAAAATGACGATTAAACATTCCATGGATAAATTATGAATAAAATCAATGTTAAAAAATAGGTAAAATTTTGGAGGAGGACCAAAAGTGCACCAATATTGCAAACATGAGGGACTATTAGTGTTCCATCTGAAAACTCAAGGATGACTTTGAGTCTTAACCCAAAGATGAAGGACTATTTTGGGCCTTCTCTCCCCTATGTCCTTAATTACTTGTCCACTTTTCATTTTTTAGTTGTCCCTAATTACTTGTCCATTATGACAAATCAAGAAATAACAAATTTTTTTTACCTATTATACCCTCAATTAATTACTTTTGAAAAATGTAGAGCTACCCCGGTATGCATAACTAATTCATATATTATCTATATTACCTTAAAAGCATGAACTCCTCACTTGAATGTTATATTACTATAATATCCCTAACTTAGGTTGTAACTTTTCTGATGAGTTGTGACTTTTTTCAAAGGGTTGTGATTTTTCGATGAGTTGTGACTTTTTCAAAGAGTTGTGGTTTTTTCAATAAGTTGTGACTTTTTCAAAGGGTTGTGACTTCTCTAAAACGTCATGACTTTTCAGATAAGACACAAAAAACACTTGTTCATATTACCCTTTGTTGACTATAAATAGAGGGGATCCCTCTCATTTTTCAACCACAATTTTTTTTAATATTCGGCTATTCTTCTTGCATTTTAATTTTTTTTGTCTGATTTATTGTCGTTGAGTGAGTTCGAAGTTTAGCTGAGTATAAGATACCACTATTCTGATGAAGTTAGTCGTTCTATCCTAAGAAGGTATATTTCTTAACCTCGAGTGCTTGAGGAAAATAATTCTAATGATATAATCATTATTTTTTCGCTTAGTATATACATTAGTATGTAATGTTCCAATATATGAAGTTAACATGATGTAGTCTAAATTGATTTGCTTTTGTTTATAATTTCTCTTGCGATGTAGATATATGCTTCTGAATATCTTATTCCAAATTTATTAAACTTCTCAAGAGTTGATGCTCAAGACAAAAGAATGACTTTATTCATAAATGTTTCTTATGTGATTTAGATTGTCAAGAAGTTTGCATCAAAATAGTTATTACTATATAAACATTGTCCTTTAGTTTTACGAATTTACTATTTCTTAATATTTTAGTATTTTCGACAAAGAAAAGTTCATAACTTGTAATAACGCGAGTTGAAGTTTGTATTAGTTTAATTTTTATTATATATTTAATAGCTAATTTTTCTAAGATAATATTTTCATTAATGCAAATCTATCTATATAATATATTTGGTGGTATTTATATATGTCACGAATGTATTATCAAGTTAACAAGATCTTCTAACTTCAAATATATTATTTTAAAATGTTCCGAGTTCTTTTTTTAAAAAAAAAAACTCACAACAAATGTGAAAATATATGAATCATTTAAAATTTATCATTAAAAAAATAAATTTTATATTCATTAATATGAAATAAACATTTTCATTTTGTTTCTACACTAAATTAAAATCTAATAACTACAAAAAAAAAAATAGTAACATTAATTAAAATACCTATTTATTTATGTAAGTATACAATCTATTAGAAATTCATTTACTGCACATTAATTCTTTAATTATAACATTATAAATTCTCTTATTACTAATTATTGTAAACATTATTCACACTCTTTTACATTATTTAGTTATAATATTATGAATTCTCATAATTATTATATTAATTATTTCTATCTTTCATCTTTCCTTAATAACTTTTGACCAATAATTTTTAATATTATTATACTGCCCATATATATGTGATAACACGATGTTGTTATTTTCCTTGAAAGAATCATGCTTGGTTGAATAAATTTAAAATTGTTTATAAGTATATGAACTATATCTTTGTTGGGTGTAAGATAAACATGTTATTATATATATGATTTCACTGATATAATATATTCTTTAATTTTTACTTTTAGTTTTTCAGGTAAAAAAAAAGGGAATTTTTCTTAGTTAACTAGGGACAGTCAAATAACCATCTTTGATTTATGTACACAATCAATTGAGAAGTCAAATGTGAGAGCCCAAACAAGAACGTCATCTATTGTGTTATAACTTATAAAATAAAAATTAATATACAAAACTAGTTCTAAAAAATAAAATGTAGTTGTTCTCCATATGTTCATATGATGTCTAAACAGATCAATGTGGAATACACGTGCAAAGCAAATCTGGTTAGATGACTAGAAAAATACACAACAAATATCGTCTATAAGGTAATATTAGTGAGATACAACTAATCACATAATTGAACCTCATCAAATTGAAATAAATATATACATTATTGCTTTTAACTCGCGTGAATAAAAGATATATATGACGATCCACATTGAACATTCACAAAAGAATCTACCATATTATTTTGTGCAAAACTCATGTATTCAAATCTTCGCTTAAATTTTCTGAATTGATAATCACGTACAACGCACGTGGCGAAAAACTAGTTATATAAAATAATACATAGATTTCCTTATAATTATTCAATTCCATGCATTATTATAACTATGGCTTCAATTCCTTTTTTTCATTTTTTTTTTCTTTTCCTTTACCTTTTGTAGTTCTTCAACCGCATTGTTACAACAACATGTCTAATGTAGTTCAAAATGAGGTTCGAAAAAAATAAAATGCACGCATATTTTATTTTTACCTCATAGGTGGAGAGATTGTTTAACTTCACTTCTAATCCAAGGTAAAGACGCCACCTAGAAGGAACTGACGACCAAATTATCTTTAAATTACAAATCTCACAACTTTATCTTATCAAAGTTTTTTGGTGGAATTATTTGTCATATATTTGACCATGTTTTATTGTGAAATTTGAAAAAAAAAAGTTTTATTTTCAAAGTAAAAATGATATGAGTATTTGAAAATTGGAAAAATGAATATTTTTATAATAGTAGAGAATATATGCTACTTCCTAGTTCCACTAACGGTATAAAAAGGGACAAAAACAAAAATGCATTGGGGATCATTGACAAGGGTATAAAACGCATTAGACACGCGCGATTTATGAACAAAATTTGAAAATTTTAAAGATATACCGTCCAACAGGCAACATAGAATATTAGGTTATGTATTCCAATATATAATAGTGTACTTAGGCAAATTCATATTATTTTACTCCTTCTGTCCTTAATTACTTGTTTATTTTTGCTTTTTTTAGTTGTCCCTAATTACTTGTCCATTTTTACAAATCAAGAAAGGACAATTTTTTTTTACATATTATATCCTCAATTATTTACTTTGAAAAATGTAAAAGTTCTTGAAAATCTTAAGTTTTTAATTCATCTAATTCATAATTAATAGGGGTAAAATGGTAAACTCACTATATCATTGTATTCTTAATAGGTGTGTCAATTTAAAAGTGGACAAATAATTAGGGACAGAGGAAATACTAGATTACATATATATATATATATATCATACCAAACACATCCCTTATACATATTTAATCAATTTCTTAATATATGTTTTGAAGATATAATGAAGTAAAAATATGCTACCTCTATAGGTGCATATAGAAGGAAAAGTAATAAGCACACCGAGTGTGAACTCATAAATGGAATTTGGGATATGTGGGTGTACACAACCCTTACCCCTACATTAAGGAAGATAGAGGTGTTGTTTCTAATAAGATCCCCGACTCGAAAAAAACTCATTAAATGAAATTTCTTTGAAAATGTGAGGAAACATCACTTGAAGATAGAATGTATTTCATTACCATTTTTTATATTATACAACTTGCTAGTTTCTACTATAGTCAAATTAAATACATAATTATTTCTATATATAAATTGTCTACTCTCTAAGAGCCAATGTGGGCGTTTGGTCTAGTGGTATGATTCTCGCTTTGGGTGCGAGAGGTCCCGAGTTCGATTCTCGGAACGCCCCAATATTGCTTTTGTTGTCATTTCCCATTAATTTTTACGGAACGCAATCAAATTTTTTTTTATCGGAATTTCTTTATATATTTTAAGTATAACTTATTGTGATTTATGATACTTTTAATAATAGTTTTTACATATATAAATTTTATTTTTCACAAAAAACTTAAAGCTTGTTACCTTAACAAGTCTTGTGAAATAACTTCGATTAAAAAAAAAAAGATGTTAAGAGACCTATCAAGAAGAAAATGCCGCAATGGAATAAGCGAGATTAGATCTTCCCTCAAACCAATAAAAAAAAAAAGGTTGCCTTTTTGTATTACTCCTTTTTTTCAATTATAGGACAAAAAGAGGAAGACAACTGAAAAAAGTTTAAATTTCAAAATTAATTAATTCGCTCCATATTATTTTTTTCATGCCTTAATTTTTAATCAAATTTATTACATGTATACATATATAGTAAAATAAATAAATATTATGTACTATTTCCCTCCAAAAAGTTGCCGCTTTACTTTTTGCCTTATCCATTTCTCCTCGAAAAAAACCCATATTTCGCCATTAACAAAAACTCAACAGTTCTACAGTCTAGACTGTATCGGCGATTCCATAATCCTCAAGTGGAATCCATATCAATGATTCCAACTGGTTTTCTGTAATCGCGTTTTATTCAGGTGATTAATTCTCGCTTCTATTTAACTATATATATCGCGAAACTGTCAATTACTGCCCTTTAATTTCTTCAATGGATTGTGTTTTTTATTAGGCATGATTTTGTTGTTGTTGATGATGATGATGATCGTGAACAGAGAAGGAGAATTAGGATTTAGAATTTATGAGTTCTAAAATTCTAGGATAGTGATAACTGATATTGGGTATTAGTTAGTGAGTAAGTTCTAAGTTTAATTTTGTATATATTTAGTAATTATATAATATGATTACAGGTTTTGAACTAAAATTATTAGGTTGCGCTGAACCTGTACGTTAGGCTTCTAGCTCTGCCCTTAAATTCATGATGAAGATAAATGTCTTCTGGTGAAATAGTTAAGAGTTTTAAGATGATCGAATGTGTATATGTTTGTGTGTTTGGTATTTCTGTTGTTGATTTTGTAGGAGAGGTTAATAAAATTAGATTTTGGTTGAGGTTGATCGAAACATATTGCTCCTTGAATGTACATTTCTGTTTGTGTGTTTGCTATTTTTGTTGTTGATTTTGTAGGAAAAATTAACAAAATTAGATTTTGGTTGAGGTTGATCAAACACATTATTCCTTGAATGAACATTGTATTGTTTTGGGCATACAATGATTATTTAGTAATATGTGGATTCGAGATTATTAATTGATTGTGACACATTTGCTTCTGATTATCGTGATGTTGTTGTTGATGACGATCGTGAATTCATGATGAAGACAATGTCTCTTAGTAAAACAGTTGAAATTTCAATAGGATTGTATATGTTTGTGTATTTGCTATTTATGTGGTTGATTTTACAGGAAAATTATCAAAATTAGATTTTGGTTGAGGTTGATCAAAACACATTGCTCCTTGAATGAACATTTTTGTTTGTGTATTTGCTATTTTTGTTGTTGATTTTGCAGGAAAAATTAACAAAATTAGATTTTGGTTGAGGTTGATCAAAACACATTACTCCTTGAATGAACATTTTTGTTTGTGTGTTTGCTATTTTTGTTGTTGATTTTGCAGGAAAAATTAACAAAATTAGATTTTGGTTGAGGTTGATCAAACACATTACTCCTTGAATGAACATTGCTCTGTTTTGGGCATACAATGATTGCTCAGTAATATGTGGATTCGAGATTATTAATTGATTGTGACACATTTGCTTCTGATTATCCTGATGTTGTTGTTGACGACGATCGTGAATTCATGATGAAGATACATGTCTCCTAGTAAAACAGTTGAAATTTCAATATGATTGTATATGTTTGTGTATTTGCTATTTCTGTGGTTGATTTTACAGGAAAATTATCAAAATTAGATTTTGGTTGAGGTTCATCAAAACACATTGCTCCTTGAATGAACATTTTTCTTTGTGTATGTGTTATTTTTGTTGTTGATTTTGCAGGAAGAATTAGCAAAATTAGATTTTGGTTGAGGTTGATTGAAACACATTGTTCATTGAATGTACATTTTTGTTTGTGTGTTTGCTATTTTTGTTGTTGATTTTGCAGGATGAGATAATAAAATTAGATTGAGGTTGAGGTTGATCAAACACATTGCTGCTTGAATGAACTTCTAATTTTTTTCGGGGGCATACCATGATTATTCAATAATATGGGGATTCAAGATTATTCATTGCTTGTGATGGATTTGTCTTCTGATTATCCTGGTGTTGTTGCTGCTGATGATCATGTTGGAAATAAAGTCTCCTAGTAAAATAGTTGAAATTTCAACTTGATAGTATGTGTATATGTTTGTGTATTTACTAATTCTGCTGTTGATTTTGCAGGAAAAGTTAACAAAGTTAGATTTTGGTTGAGGTTGGTCAAAGACATTGCTCCTTGAATGACAGGCAAGGGATTTCAAATGGGTTGGCCATGAGCTGTTAAGGTATTAATTCTCTCTAGATTATTAATTTAACTGCAAATTACGAAGTCTGTGACTAAGGTTAAGGTGAGGAATTATGGATATATTCCTCAAATCTCTGTCTTTGCTTGTTCTCACAGCCCACTCACTCCCTATAAAAAAAACAAGTAGATTCAGGTAGTGTATGCTAATTAAAGAAGCAACGATAAACTCAATCTCAATTTTTTGATTGTTGCAGTCGGTTATATGAGTTCTATACATTTAACATACAATCTGCTTGATTTAGGTCATTTCATCAAAGAAAACTGTACATGGTTTTGTGATGAGAGAGCAAAATGGAATGCAATGATTAGTGAGTATATAGCCTACTCCAACTTGCTTGGTGTTGATGGGTAGTTGTTGTTGTTTTTGTATTTTGTTATCAGAGAGCAAGCTAAAAACGAACAGAATCAGAGTAGAATGGAAGCTGAGAATGCATATACACTTCCCTTTTATGATACTTTCAACATTGAGAGTCCTTTAATTGGAATGGACAACCTTGATTTTCCTACAATGAGCTTGGATGTCCCTGATTGTGCTGAAAATGAGGTCTCTCATATCGCAAATGAATGTGAGGAAGAGGTTGTCCTTGACAGTGATGATGAAAGAATGCATGGTACTGAAGTGGCAAGTGTCTCAAAGTTGAGATCTTCTGATGATACAAGGTATAAACAGCAGCTGGATAAGTGGAAACCCTCACCAGTTTCTAAACAAACCTATGTGGGTAAGCATTTGTTTTACAAGCATGACCTTTCACTCAATATCATTCTTATAATCATCAAACTGATGATATATGATTTTATGCTCATTTACCCATTTGTAATCCTACTGAAGCTCTGAATCTAAAAACTTTCTAGCTCAAAGTACTCCTGACTGCACTAGCTAAATACTCTAGAAGCTGTAACATTTTGAAGGAGGATAACTTGTTGTATAGATTTATGTGCATCAATGCCATTGGAAATGTTGTTTTTGGGATGTGTAAATTGCGAATGGACTCATATTTTTTTGTTGAATAGCACACTCTCTGATTTATCATTCCTCACCTATGACTGAATACCATCTTTAGTCTCACAATTATGGAAGATAACCATTTGTGTTTTTAGATCAAAAGCAAGAAGTGTGTAGAAACTAGGAAGCCTTTATGACAGAAGTTAATAAACTAATGACTTGTCAGTGATATACGGCATAGTTCAATTTTCAGCTTGACTTGAGTAAAAATATCTGAAGCGTAGGCGTTGAAGTTGATCAATAGCTATCAACATAATCATGACTTAACTATTTCTACATCTATTGGGAAAAGCCCTCTTAATCCAAATCTTTATAGCTTCCTTGATCTTCATAGCATCTTTCAATGTGCATTTCATGAATTCTTTTCAATTGTGTATCTCCTATTTTTTTGCACCTTGAATCTTGTCTATATTTTTATTAGGATGTCTACGGAGGTCAAATAATCTATTTAAGTTTTTGGATTCAGCCAGAAGCACCACAGATTTTGAGAAAACTGATCAACAGAAACAGTGTTCTGAGATTAATGGCAGACTATCTCTACAAATAGATAAGAGCAGTGTTAATACAAAACCAAGAGTTGAAGAGGATTGGTGTCAGGCTGCTGAATTAACCAAGGATGAAGTCTACAAAGGAAATGTGGAAACGGAAGGCTCAACTGTTTATGGTGTGAATGGAGATAAAGATTTTCCACTTCATTCTTGTAAAATAGAACTCCCCAAGTTAAACAAAACTGAATCTCAAGTATCTGGAGAGCTGTCAGAAGCTAATGCTCTGGACTTCATTGACCACTACCTATCAGTTTACAATGAAGATGCACTCAATGAAGTCAAAGCTAGAGGAGTGAATAAGATTGTATCACCTCCATTTTTCAGCCGTGTGGGACCTCAAAAATTGGCATGCAGAATGAATGTTCAAAATGCAGTAAAAAACTCCGGGGTTTTTGACTGGCCTGAGAGGCAAAGTGATAGTGCAAATGGTTCTTTTTCAAGACACCGAAAGATATTGACCTATCACAGAAAGAATTACGGACTGAAGAAACAAAAAGTATCTTGTATCCAATCCAGTAAGGAGCCAATGGAAAGTATGACAGATTTAAATAAGGCGGAACCAAAGTTTCTCCCGGAAGCTCACATGAATGTTGGGTCCAACTTCCTGAGGAAGTCGGATGAGCAATTTGATATGGGGACATTTGAGCAACACGTTGATTATGACGGAAATCAATCAAATGGATTAGAGACATATGATGTTGGCCTTGATACTCAACTGGCTGCTGAAGCTATGGAAACTCTACTACACGCCCCTCCTTTGAAAAGTGATGTGCTTTGGGCCTCTCCTGTTACAAAAACCAGCCTAGTTAAAGAAGGGAAATATCCTGAGATCGCTATCTCAAGAGAGTTTAACATTGATGATAGTTCACCAGAACCTACTTTATGTAGCTCAGCTGAAGTAGAGTTGTCTTCTGTTGTTCATAGAACTAGGCATCAAGTGTCTTTAAATTTGAGGAGCTTGGAGAGCCCAACAACCAATTCCAACACAGAGTTTAATTTTCCAAAGAAAAGAAGGAAGCAACATGAGCTTGGAGAGTTAAATGATAATTTGTTCAAAGTGGCTGTTGTAAGAGGGAAAGTTTCCAAAGCAAGTACTAACACATCAAGGAAAGCTAGAAAAGTTAGCATGAATAATCAAGGAGAAATTTTCCAAAGTGTAGCAGCCACATTGAGTCAAGTGAAATTGGAAAATTGGGTCTCTAAGGGGAAAAGGACACATAAAGGGGTGCGACGGCTTTCTAATGGATCAAGCAATCTCTATCCTCTACTGATGCCTGCTGATCAGGGAAATGACTTAAAGTTTCCAGATTTGAATCATAAGGCAGAGAGAAGATGCCAACCCGTGGAATTTAAAAGACAGAATCAGTCTTTAGAAAAGACCCAGTCAGGACTCTCGTCAATTCTGATTGCAAATAAACCTTATTCCTCAATTTGTAAATATTCAGTCACCAGTCAGAAGATGATACCCATGGACTTCAAAAGAGTTGAATCTACTGAGTCTGCCAAATTAAATGAAATGACCTCCATATCCACTAATCTTTTGACAAAAGAGATGAAATCTGACGTATTTTCAAATGGAATCTCAGATCCATCATACTGTCTTAATGATCACAAGAAAGGCAAGCAACACATGAGAAGTCTCTCCAGATCACCCCTTTCTCAAGAGCTTTTTAGATTAGGCTATGCAGAGCAATTACCTGATTTTCTGCCTAGAGGTTCACGACGACGAAAAGGTGCAGGTGACATTTGTGTCTTGTTCAGCCAGGGCTTGGATAGCAAATTAATCAAGCAGCAGAAAAAGGTACTGTTCCCCATTATCTGAGATATCTTCGACTTTAAATTGAACAAGTTTGGACAATGATTTATGGTTTTCCTAATTTCCCTTGAATGCAGATTTTGTCAAGACTTGGATTTATCTCCACGTCAAATTGTTCTGATGCCACACACTTCGTCACTGACAGCTTTGTAAGAACTAGGAATATGCTAGAAGCCATTGCCTATGGAAAACCAATTGTAACACATTTGTGGCTTGAGAGCTGTGGAAGAGCAAGCTGTTTTGTTGATGAGAAAAGTTATATCTTAAGAGATGCCAAAAAGGAAAAGGAACTCAGTTTTAGTATGCCTGCTTCACTTGCTCATGCTAGAAAGCATCCCCTTCTAGAGGTATGTGTGTATAATTGTGTAACCATCTGATCTAAAAGCTTAAGTTGCTTGAGAGAGTACACTTTTAGTTACTTATACAGGAATATTCAGCCTATCATAAAGTTCATTTTTTCATCTGAATTAACAGGGTCGAAGAGTCATTATTACTCCAAATGCAAAACCTAATAGAGATACCCTTCTAACCTTGGTCAAGGCAGTGCGTGGTGAGGTACACAACCATGACATTGATTTGACTTTTTTGATGCAGTTTTAGTTTCTACTCTTGACGTGTGACTGATGTGCACTGCGAAAAAATCAACCAAGTTTGTAAATTGCTGTTTTAAATGTATTATTGAAAATATTAATAACAAATTTATTTCAGTTAAGGATCTTTCTTTTCCTTTTTGATCTTATCAGGTGGTGGACGAATCTAATAGTAAAATCACTTGTGATGATCTATTAATTCTTTCCTGCGAAGAAGATTACAAAGCATGCATTCCATATCTGGAAAGGGGTATGATTTCAGTTCTTTCTTTTTGCCCTTCTGGCAATTGCTTTCTTGTGACTAATAGCAACAAGTATCACTATTGTAGGAACTCTTGTTTATAGTTCGGAGCTCTTGCTTAATGGGATTGTTATCCAGAAACTGGAGTACAATAGGTATGTATTTCTAAAAGAAAACGACATTGTCCATCTGTTCTCTCTTTAATGTCAAAATTACCAGTGTTTGGTGTTCTTCAATTATGGGAAGCAAATAAATATTTTGCATAACCAGGTGATTTTGCTAAATCCTATTCATTTGTGACTAAAATTTTGCCCTTTTAACATATGTGCATGAAATGCAACTTGCCTTATGTTTGTTAAGTGGCTGAAATGTCTGAATTCTTAGTGTTGAGCAAGTGATCATGTCATGAAATTTTTGTGAAAATTTACACAAATATGATACTTCGTGGCTGATGTTTAAGTAATCTTTGCAAAAATGGCCCCGGTGCTACAACACAAGCATGTCCTACAATTTGATAAGACCTATGAACAATTTAACAAAATAGGAGAATGAAGATTGTACTAAAGTTATGACGCCCTTATCCTACAATCTGATAAGAAGTGTGATCTTTATTGTTCGGGCATGAAATGATCCTATTTCTGTGAATCACCCTACTTTTGTTTTCTATTGAAAGTGATTCTGAACTTTCTAATTTGCACTAGCAACACCAATGCAAAAAGATTGTTATATCACTAAATTTGGAATCAATAAATTTTAAACTAAGCCACCCACTTAATTTTAGCATGTACCAACCTATAGTTAAAGTGATTGTACATTTGGACGCTGTTGCTCTAGGATCATTTTGAGTCACCTGCTTTTTATTTGCCTTTTTGTACCATCTATATGAGAAAGCCTAACTAGCTGACTAACATTAATGTTGTTTCAAGTACAGGCATCAGCTTTTCACAAAGTTTCATGACGAAAACTGTAAAGAATGAAAATCTGTCCAGCTTTTTCACGAAGAAAGCTTCGTGCCCAACTGCTTGTGTATCGATTAAAAAACGCTACTAGTCCAAGTAACAGATGATGATATCCTTGTGTTACCAGATACTCGAAGTTTTAGCTGGACAGAGGTATTGTATCATATTGGTATAGTAACTAAGTTTTCATAGTTTGTCCAGAAAAGGTTGTCTGTTATCTATTCCCATGTAAATTCACTTGGTTTGCTAATTTTTGAACAAATGTAAATTCTCAATGTTCTTTTCTGTTTTGGATTTGTTTAGAAAACAACTATGGAAATATTTTACTAAGGAAAATGACCCAACTCAAAACATCTCAGAATAAAGAAGATATACACTAAAACCTCACTAAATTAATATAGGTGGATCATAAAATATTATTTTATAGAGATATTATTTAATCAATAATTAATATTTATTAATTTAAAGAGTGTTTCGATACTACAAAATTCGTTCGGGATGAAATCTCAGAGATTTTAAATGAACCCACTTGTGAAAAAATCATTCATGAACTTGATGTCATGATTAATGATCTCAGTTATTGCAATAAAATGGATGTTAATAACCCGTTGGATGGGTAAAAATGATACATGTTTAGGGGTTCAAAACTTAGAAAAAATTGTGGATACCATTGAAAAAATAATGTTGATGATAAAGTTGAAAATGATACAATCGTAAGGAAACACTTATATTAAAACTCTTTATAATTTTATGGTGCAGATTTAAAAGACAACACCAAAACCTTTGGATGCAATAAGAAAAGTTATTAATGAGCTTCAACTATATTTAAATTTTAATAAAAAACAGAACACAATAGAATCATATTTGACTAAATTGTCTTAGATATATTTGTACTTTTAAGGAATTATTAATTTATTATATTAATAAGACCATATATTTATATAGGGGTCTTCTAAAAATATATTATCTTAATCGAAATGAGTTTTTTCATTGGCCAAGTTGGGACCGAATTCTTAGAGAGGTTATGAGTAGTAATTTAGTAAGGTCTTACTGTACTCTCATTTGTAGAATTAGATAAAAAAACAATTTAAGTTATTTTTACTTTATGGTGTAAATAATTTGTAACACTATCAATGCATTTTTACTTTCTATAGAAGGTTGCTTCATCTTTCTAAAACATTTGTATAGAGAATACATATATTTATCTTTTAAATAATTAATTAGCGTATCATAGAACATATACTTTTATAAAAACAAGAAAATTAGCCCAATTAAGCTCTACTTATGTTATTTTTCATGTCTTTTTATAAGGTTGTGTCACTGATATTAAAAAGAAAATGTTGGAATTAAAACTAATTAAATATATAAACGTGTCATTCTTTTAAAATTAATCTTAAAAGAACAAAAAAAAAAAAACAAGATACATCAATTGAAATGAAAGTAGTATATAATAGTACTATACAATTTATTTATTTTCTTAAAAAAAGACATTTTAAACTACATATTAGTCTAACAAATCCCACAATAAAAATCATCCTAATTTTTATTTTTTTTAACCAGTATATAAACATTGATTATATCCCAAGTATACACTGATAACAACTACAAACTATTATGGCCGAGTGATCAGTATTAAAATTAGAAATTTTGTCAAGGCCGTTTAAAACTTAAGTATATATCTCTAAATAGTTATTTTTAATCTATATATGTAGTATTCGATAAAGGATGTTCAAGTGATTACCCTGGTAATTACCCCGTGAGTGTATGAATTTTTTTAGCTGGCTGACTAAAAATGTTAAAATCCTTAAAGCCCATGGATTTCAAAATTCAGAAGCCCAATTGATTATGGGCCCGGCCTGCTCCATCTTTCTCTCTCTTATTCCTCAACCAAGTCGATTGGAACAACAATCAGACTCTCTCGGTTACATACTAGCTCCTCTCCTCCTCCTTCTCCGGCGATCTTCTCCGGCGATCTCTGAATTTAAGCGTGTAAGGTCATGAGTTTTCTCTAACTTAAATTTCCAATTTTTATACATAAAACAAAACCTAATTCGCTTTTGGATGGATTGATATTAGTATATTACTAATAATTTTGGATTTAAGTTAAATTCTCTTTGTATTTGCTCCAATTGCATTATTTAAGTGTATATTCCGGATTTTGATTTCTCATTCAGAATTTGCTTCTCCTGTGAATGAAAGTGTCAATTCCGGATTTTGATTTGTATTCAGATTTTGCTTCTCCTGTGATAAAAGAACCTGAATTGAATAGCTTATTGGGCAGAGTTACCTGTGGCATGTGGGAGGTGTGAGGTATCTGTGAATTAGTTTGAGGTGCGGGAAAGTTCGCACCAACACCACTGCTATTAAAAAAAATTGAATTGAGTAGCTTGGTATACTGGGTTACCTGATAGGCTGATACATATTGCTGGTGTGGTGTGAGGTAGAAGGTATGGGAAATATGACCCGTACACCACAATTATTAAAGAAAAATTTGAATTGAGCCATGTTGGTCCGTCTCTTCAAAAATGTTAAGTTGGATCCTCCAAAAATAGTGATCTGACATGGTGTGGCAACATTTTTGAAGAGTCAGAGCAACTTAGGAATTGAGTAGCTTGGTGGATAGAGTTACATGATACATGTTGATGGTGGGAGGTGACATGTATCCCGTGGAATTAGTTTGAGGTGCGTGATAGCTGGCCACTCCACGGTTATTAAAAAAAAGGAGTCTGAATTGAAGGGAATGGATACATATGATTCATACATCAGATTTTAATCAGTTCAGGATTGAACTGTCGTTAATTGATGATTTGCTTTCCCTGTGGTGATGACCTTAAACTCCTCAGGACCCTCCTTTGTGCCTTTTGAATTCTGCCAAAGGCATTTGGATTTCTTATTCCTATTCGTAGTTTCCGCTAGATTGGGAGAAATTGATTATTTTTCTGATTTTGACAGGAGGAAATTCCATGGCTCCAAAAAGAACAAGAAACTGAGCAATACTATGGCTCCAAAAAAGAAAAAGAAACAGAGCAATAACGCTGCTGAATCTAGTTCTAAAAGTACAGTTGCTGAAAAAAAAACTCCCCAAGCACTGAAGGGTAAACGTAAACTTGTAAAAAGGTTCTCTCACATAAACTCTGCACAAACCAAAGAAGCTGAGATTAGTTCACAAATGCAAGCCAGAAACAAACACAAGAAGGCAAAAAATGGCAACAAAGGAAATCATGTTGGTGAAAAAGATGCTAGTAAGTCTGACAATATTAATAAAGGAAACAATGAACTGGATATGAGTGAAAGATGTGGAGAGATGAGTAAGCATGAAAAAACTCAAAAGAGCCTTGATCTAAATGAAGGACGGGGAGAGGTAAATAAGGATGCAAAAACTTTGAATAGTCTTGGTGGAGTAATTTTCATGTGCAATGCCAGAACGAAAGAAGATTGTTTCAGATATCGTGTGATGGGTGTTTCGGCAAGCAAACAACACTTTGTAATGGGAATCAAACCTGGTCTTAAGCTTTTCCTCTTTGATTTCGATCTTAAGCTAATGTATGGTATCTATGAGGCATCTTCTGCTGGTGGAATGAGACTTCAACCAGCGGCATTCGGTGGGGCGTTCCCTGCTCAGGTCAAATATGCTGTCCTTATTTTATGAATTTCATCTTCTTCCTGTTTGTGAGGTGTTTATATTGATGGTTGGTCATCCAACAGGTACCTTTTATGATTCACAAGGACTGTATTCCACTACCAGAGAATGTGTTCAAGAAAGCAATTAAAGACAATTATGATGAAAAGACACGCAAGTTTAAGACTGAGCTGACAGTTATGCAGGTACCAAATGACCTCCCTAATTAGCAAGTTATTCACTGTTTTCCGAAAATCTGAATTCAATATCTTTGAGCAGGTGGAGAAGTTAACAGGGCTGTTTAGACCTGCACCATGTATGGATCCAACTCTCAAACCAGTACTACAGGATGCTGTGGCTCAGCCAGTTATTCAGCGCTCAGCAGCACCACCTTTATCTGGTTATGAACCTGTCAGGGAGCATGCATATGGAGCTCAATACGGCAGTAGTAAAGCAGGTCAGAATTTCTCACCACATGATCATGGAAGGCAGCAGTTTGTGGACCATCATGTCATGCCTAGAGAGGTTGCCCGTAATCCGCATTTTCTTACTGAGAAAGAATACAGAAGCTATGGTCTTCAACAGGCAAAACATCTGCGGCCCTGTACTTCTGCAGTACATGTGACCCACAAATTGGATCATTATGGATCAGAACAAGGAATACAGCAGCTACTGAGGGCCCCTACTGGTGTGAGAAGTGATGCAGCTTTTGCACGGAATGAACATGTTTACTCTGATGCTCGTTTTCCAAATGAAAGGGAATACCGTAGTTACGGCCTCGATTGTCTCCATGGGAGACCTGGTACTGTTACTCCTGCTGCAGAAAGTAGCAATACAATGTCTGCAGCTGCCAATCATAGTTTACTAAAAAATGTAAATCCTTACGACGAGGATACCACCTCACTTGTGAACCGGTATCTTTCTCTTCCACGGACAATGATAACACCTGGAGAGTTGCCTTTGACAGGCAGAGAGTCATTTGCTAGTGCTTCCAACTATGTGAGTGACATCAGAGGCCATCCAGGAAGATTGCCTGCTGAAAATGTAAGATTTTATGCACCAATTACTCCTTATGCACCAAATACTCCTTATGCACTATCAGGTTATGGCCACATATATCAGCATCCTAGAGATGAGCCTGGAAGATCATCGTCAGTCTTACCTCAGTATCCTTTTGCTGGCCCACCTGCATCACGTCGCTGAAACTACGCCGCAAAGTATATCCATTCCTGTATGATGTCCATTGTGGCTCCAATGGATTCCAGAATCCAAAAAATTACTCTATTTTATTTCACATTTCCTTCCTGTACATGTTGGAAAATAATCCTGATGGTTTTGCCGGATGCTTCGGCCTCAGTTCTTCAGACAGCTTGATGTTTTTTCATACCTATACTAAGGTCCTGCTGAAATCTGCAACTATGATGGGCAGTGTTGTGTGCCGATGCTACAGCTACTTAGTTTGTGAAAGGTCTACCCAGGAAAGTCGAATCCTAACTAACTATGAATCACATTAGCAAGACGGATCTCGGCCTAACTCCAGTAATCTCTCGTTTGTCTGAGACCATCAGATGGCACCCCATGTGATAGAGATGCATCTCACGCCCATCGTGGAAGAGGTGCATCTCCATGTAAATGACAATGATGAGCCAAGACATCGATCTTTGGTTCAAGTTTTCCTGTTTTATTTTTTTATTTATCGGTTTCCTATGTACAATATTTTCTGTTTCTACTAGATTATCTGATGTTTCCGCAAGATAAAGTTGATGCATCCCCAAAGGCAATGTTTGCCTGAACACAGAACTGTGATAGTGTAACTTTTATAGGAAAGATTGATGCCTCCGTTGTTGAACTGCTCAAGGAGTAGACTAAAAAAAAGTTCATGTTGGTGCTATTCCATTGTAGGTTTTTTTCGTTTATTGCAACTTATTTGTGATTAGTACAATAGGGTGCTGACTTTTACGATTTTTTTCGACAAAGAAACTACTAGTAATGCTACGCCGAGGCAAGAAGTGTATTACACTCGTTATGTCATGTTAGCGGAAAGTGTGTTAAATACTATGACTAGCGATTTACTTGGGAGAATTACAACTTTTTGCGAATAGTTCAACAGGGTACAGACATTTTTATAAAACTTTAATGAAAATAAATTTTCGACAAAAAAAGCTACTAGTAATGTTACATTGAAAAGTGTAAGACGCTCAATATGTCATGACAGCTATGCTGAGATTATTTCTCATATTGACTTGTTGTATTCACAATAATATGCATTGCATAAATTTTATGAACAAAGTTATTTATTTACAAAAAATACTCTTCATGAATATGAAAAGTGATGTATAAAAAAAGGTTAAAGAAACGACTATCAGTTACCTATTTTATCTCGAAATAATTATCCCAAGATTTACTATACCACCCAAAGGAGAAGGATAACTTATCCAATTACTAATTATTAATTCCGGAATAAATCTCGAACTTGCCAATCAAACAACAAATTAAATGGCATTATAATTTAATCCCAGGACTAATTGATTCTATCCTTCACACCAAACAACCCCTAAGGGGTTGTCTATATGGATTTAGACTTTAAAATAGTTTCACTGAACTAAATAAATACCATAGAAGCATTTCTCAAAGGTACAATCAATGTTGCTAGCCAAAACCTTCCTTGAGTAAATGAATTTTTCTCTCTTCCCTGACCAGTTTACCTTACATCTAACCATATCATGGATTTCTAGCACTTAACATCACAACATAGAAAATAAAACACGTTGAAACCAGATTAAGAATAGCTTCAGGACAGTAGCATCTGGATTTTCTGTACATAAACCGGCCTATTGATTAGAGTCGGCAGCTTGAGCGTTGATACTAGAATTATCACCTCCTCCGCTTGTTGGCACAGTGGTACTTCCTTGATACACGGGAGGTGGTGCAAACATTGGAGGGCCGCCAGTAGGAGCAGGCATTCCCATACTTCCTGGAACTGCACTTGGTGGACCGACAGGTCTTTGCATATTATTGACTTGACCAGGCATAGGAGCACCGGGAGGTGCCAACATCTGAGGCATTGGTGGAGGAGCATAACCTGGAACCATTGAAAGACACTCTAGTTTTTAAAGGTCTATTATCCAGATACTATAATTAGGGAAAACTTCTCAAGGCAACATCGATATGCAAACTTCCAAAAACTACAGCATGACACGATTTCTCTCTAGCATTCAAACAAGAAGAATACAAAATGGCTTGAGAAACAAATATGTAGATGGTATCATATGCACCTTCAAATTATTATGAGCTAAAGGGAGTTCAACTGCATTAGTGAATTCTATGCTTTAAAAGGAAAATGTCAAAACAAAACTAGCTTGCTACATCCTCCCAAAACAATGTGCAGTAGTTGCAGAATACGAATTATAATATCATGCTCACATAGAGGTGGGCTGTTTAAGGTAGGTTGACAGTTTGCAGAAGTCAAATATCAATGAATCATCCAAAGATGCAGAGGTTTCATATAATCCCCCCCCCCCCCCCCAAACACACACAAAACTAATTAAGGACTGAAATTTAGTTGATTTATGTATCCCATAATGCATTCCGGAACCTAGGCTATTGGAGTGCTCAAAGCTGGATGCAAAAGCATAGTTCCACTAATTTCATTTCTTGACGAACCAATTGGAGTTGTTCAAAACTAGAGATAGTCTCACAGATGAAACTTGTATTCTTTCACCACATATGTCCTTGATTCCCACTCAAAGGAAACATTAAATATTTTATGGTGACCTACGGCTTCGATAGATTTTAACAAAACCTCAATGATTTGAACCCTTGAGACTAGGCAACTGTTGTTTCCTAATAGATCTATTGCCAAATTGTTTTTTTCTTTTCCCTTAATTTTGGTAAGACCTATTGCAAAATTGTTTCGATCAATTAATTAGGACTCAATCCTAAGCTAATCAGTATCGGTTATATGAATCTTCTATATCTATTCCACACTATTGAGGGTGCATGTCATACTAATAATAGAAAACAGATATGTGATTTCATTGATCGGATAAACCTACTTGATCAAAATATGGAGCAGCTGATGAGAATTGAACCTACATCTTCTGAAAAGGAACTCTAATGCCAAGTTCACATAAAAAAATTCCAAACTACATAAACAAGAACGACATTCCATTTTGAATAGCTAATAGTGATACAACAGGGATTTATCCCTTCCATTGGGAGCTTATTTATTGTAAAATCTTTAAACCTACAGATGTACACAAACATACAATCTAGGAGTCAACCTGAGGAGGGGATGGAATTTGAAGTTTAGAGGTTCTAAATTCTAATCTTTTTAAGTTACTAGGTTCTAAATTAATAATTTGTACATATTCAATAACTTCTAAATAAGTAGAGAGTTTCAACTAAAGCTACTGGGTTCAGTCAAAACCGCAGCCAACACTCTCCCTCCGCCGCTGATGTCAATTAAAAAACAAAAATAAGATTGGAAATCCTTGCATAGTCAACAATCATCTTCAAAGTTTGGTGGAGGACCTAATATAAAACAACTATCTTCAAGAGGTATATAAAAGAACAAGGTACTCATAAGGGTTCACAATGCTACTGATACCTGGAAGACCGGGCATGGGCCTTGGAAGCACCGGAGGCCGCATACCAGGGACCCATTGGGCACCAGGTGGCATTTGAGGGTTGCCGGGCATCTGCATCTGAGGAGTTGGAAGACCAGGAAGACCAGGCCTTAGCTGAGGAAAAGGAAGGCCAACTGGTCTAAAGGCCCCTAGATGTTCCTTGACTTTTTGATCAATTAGACTTTGATTCAGTTGTGCCTCAAATTGTTGATAATAAGTTCGAACATTTCCCTGAAAGTATAATTTTGTGAGACTTGTTCAAAGTGATAAGCCTAATCTCAGAGGAAATGGAAATAATACCTTGTGTTTGTACCCTGCATTATGCTGCTTTCTAACAGAAGGCTGAAAATAGCAAGATAGTAGTGTTGTCAATTGCAGGTACATCATAATGAATTCAACACATAATTATTGGTTTTTCCTGAAAAGCTCCAATGAAGAGTCATGGACACAAGAAACCTGCAATCAACTCAAATGTACTTCTACAAAAGGATTACATTTAGGATAAGTTAGTGTATTCTTTAAACCTTTTCTCAAGAAATGTTTTTATTCCATAGTTTGGTTGCTCAGAATGTTTTCCTAAGAGAATTTCTCAACTCTTCTTACCTCAATTCACTTGTTTCAACCAATATGTAAACACTATTATCAGCCTTTCAACAAAAACAACTACGAGTGCACTTAAAGCCGGTGTCAGCTATATGGACCATCACTGACCATGTCGCACCATTTAAGCTCACTTCAGGCCAATATTATACAAAAAATAAATTTAAAAAATAGGAATCACTAGAAGTTATATATATTTTCTACCGGAACATAATCTGTTAAGACTAAAACACACCTAGAAAGTATAGGACTTGAGCAATCCTACTAGCATGACATACTGCCAACTAATAGATACCATCCACATAAGATTTTTTTCCTTCCATTATGTCCTATTTTCACTAAGCCTACATGGATTCTAAGAGATTGTATGTTTTTCAGACACTGTTATCTATTGTCAACCTTCAAATATTGAAAGTTATGCATTCAACATAGTCTAGCAGGAAGTGAGTTGAGATACATGAGGCCTCAGGTTCAAATCCTAGTGAAGACAAAAATACTGGGTGATTTCTTCCATCTGTCCAAGCATTGGTGGACAGAGTTACCTGATACTTGTGTTGTGCTGGTGAGATCTCATCCAAACACCAAAGTCCAAACAATCTTCAGGTTAAACTTTCTCAAAGAAAATATTTCAGGTGAATAAAATCTTACAACGAAGGCACCACAAAGATTAAGTGATTAAAGAACTTAATGTTATGTGTGACCTAATTAAGCTCAATAAAAGCGGCAATTAGCAAATCAAGTGCACAGGGGGGAACAAACCCAACTAAGCCTGGAGCTAGGATTTCAATTTTATGGATTCTGCAATTTAAAAACAACTATTTAATGATTTTAAACACAAATACATTGTTAGTCCCTAGGGCTTGTGTCCGCCGAAAGCTTCCTACAAAAGCTATTGGGTTCGGCAAAACTCGTATTCGAGCTTCTAGACCAAGTGCCCAATCCAATATCCAATAACGTACACAAAATTCCTAGGTTGAAATCAGAGATTCTTGAAAGATGATTTGAGGTAACTTACAGAATCATGCGTCAAGTAAGTATCACAGTAGTCACAGTAATACCTGAGGAGGAGAAAGAGGGTGAGAATCAAATAGGGAAGATGGAAGAAATTTTACAAAATATAATCAAATTCATTGGATTAAACATACCGAGGCATTCTGTTTACACAAAAGAGTAGAACGCCCTGCAAGAATAAAAAAGAAACTCTTGAAAACACCCAACAACAACAAAAAGATACGATCTTACCCCTACCTTGAGAGGTAGAAAGGTTGTTTGACTTGTTTCCAATAGACCCTCGGCTTAGGGAAAAGCAGTTCAAAAAAGAAATGACAAAAGTGAAGAAGTCGTGACAAAATACTAAAGAAACTATGACAAAGCAGTCTGAAAAAAAGCAGTAACTACAACAAAATAATACGATAACAGAGTTACGAGAAACAACATATATTAACAGACATCGAAGGATCAGAAACTACAAGAACAATACAACGACTAATTAGTATGGAAGAAAAAGCAAGACAACACACATCCTGATCATCTGAAATTTTTAATGATACAACTCAAAATTTGTGACTTCAACCCGGGAATTAAGCACCAAAGCACAAATAGCAAATATTACTACATTTTACTCATACTCCATATTTTTCCTCTTTTTTTTTTTGGTCAGTGGCCACCGGTGGCTCAACCCTAAAGCTACTAAAGCAATGGCAGGATTCCAAAGAAGCAAAAATCCCCAAATCCAGTTACGAAAACATACGGAAAGAAACAAATTACAGCAAACTCGTACAGATTAACAACAACTATTAGTTCAGTTTCCATGACAAACAATCAAATTCTCATGTGCCAAAATTTCAGCAAAATAGAGTATGATTTACAAAGGCGGCTCAACCCTAACCCTAAAAATCCCCCCAAATTCAGTTACGAAAACATACCGAAGATGAAACAAATTCCAGCAAAAGCACTGAGCTACACTACACATACATAAAAGAAAGGTATAACCAGATCTGATGAAACAAAATACTACCTTAGGTAGAATATTAAAAAAATTAATTCTTTTTAGTTGTCATGTATGCTATAAATATTTGTTTTAAAATAATTTGTCAAAAAGGAATGAAGGGAGTATTAATTAAATTTTTCTTAATAGTTTGTTGCTAATTTCTTAGTAATTACATTTTTTTTTTGGGTTTTCCATTCGGTGTTCGGTATTCACATTGGAGCCTGACTAAATTCGAATTCACACCAAGAAGTCCCACATTGGGAGGTAAAACGCTCCCTAACAAAAGCGATTCCGTACCCAAGGGAACTCGAACCCGAGACCTCTTGGTTAAGAATGAAGGAGTACTTACCCTCTTGGTTAACAAAGCGCTCCCTAACAACCCTTCTTAGTAATTATTAGTATTAGAGTTGTCAAAAAAATGTTAGTCCAGTCCCACCCGGCCCAAGTCTCACGAGCTAAGAAATTTGAAGGGCTAGGGTGGGCTGGCCCTTCATTTGGAGGGTTTGAAAATGTTCAATCCAACCCAATCCTATAAGGGTCGCGGGTTGGGGCGGGCTAGCCCTTCTTTTTTTTTTCTTTTCAAACTTAATAAAATTCTATGACATCAAAAAAATGAGACGATTTTCAAATCAAATATAACAAACAATGGTGTTATTTCAACAACACTGGCAAATAAATCTAGAGTGATTAGCATGTTTGGGATACTAGATATGCAAGATATATGTTGATGCATCCCAGATAAGCGAATGAGATAAGAAAGTGACAAGCGAAATGAGAGGGAGGCGAAGGCGTAGAATATGTCAATGTATCCCTCAAGGGCCAAAGACTTGGGCCTCATTTGTTTTCATTAAGATTAAGATGTCTGAATCTGAATGCACATCTGAATATTAAGATTAGCATTAAGATTAAGATGTCAGAATCTGAATGCTTGTCTGAATATTAAGATGTAGTTTCTAGGTCTGAACACTAAATCATTAAGATTGTTTGTTTTCAATATCTGAATGTGCATAATATATATTTTTTTAATTAGGAATTAAACCCTTTATCAATAAAAGTTATAATCAAAACCAAGAATACTTCTTCCAAAAAATTATTTCAAGAATAAGTTTATAACCAACCTCAGAAAAAAGATGATTTATTTGTTTTCTTAAACATTTTTTTCTCAAGAAACAATGATAACTTCTTTCAAAGAAGTTTTGACAACAAACGAATTGTGACAAGAAGAGTTCTTCATAAATATCAATTCACCCAAGAATATTGTATATTAAAAATATTAAATAAATACTTGTATAGATTATGAAAACTTACTTATTCAAAAGAAAAAATATGGTATTTGGTTGGAAAATGAGAGGAAGAAACTTGAAACTTGTCCAGAAGAGAAGCAAGGAAGAAGAGAATTTGTTTATGAAGAACGCTTATTATTATAATAGAGTCTGAATAATATTAAGACTCTGTTATAGATATGATTCATTCAGACTCATTAAGACCCATTAAGAGGTTTTTTTTTTTTTAAAAAAAGAAACAAATGGACTTAATGAAATGAATCTTAATGATTAAGATTCAGACCTAAAAAACAAACGCACTTAATGGGCTGAATATGAATGATTAAGATTCAGACCCTCATTAAGTGCAAACAAATGAGGCCTTATATGAATCGGACTTATAAGCTCTAGTTTTAAATGGGCTTGAAAAATCAATATCCCAATCTTACCCCAATAACGAGTTGGGTTGGGCCTGCCCCATGGGCTAAGTCCATTTTGACGGCTATAATTATTATGCACATATTTTTTAAATTTTATTATTGATGCAATTATAATTAAAAATCATACACAATCAAATTTGTAGTTAGTTTTTATTTCTTAATTCGTCTAATTTACTTCAATTTGAATCAACCATGTTTTAATACTGCTTTGTAAAATTGTCTTCAAATCTTTGAGATGTTTTATTAAACATTTCAAGCTCAAACTAATTAGGTTATCTTTTTCTTAATTTTAGTTTTAGGTCACCCATTTTATTGAACTATCTTGTCAGCAAATCATCAATTAACTACACTTCAATCTTGAACTAGTTAAATCTACTGTATGAATTCGTAACCATTCCCCTCATTTCAGGCTAATGAATATGAAATATCATGATGAAAACCACAAAAAAAAACGATAAGAAATCGAAAATGACACTTAACTAATGCAATTAGAGCAAATACAAAGAGAATTTAACTTAAATTCCAAATTTGTAGTAATATATACTAATAAAATCCATTGACAAATAAATTAGGACTTTTTTCTCGCCAAATTTAGGGGTAAAATAAGAGAAAAATAAGGAACTTACAAACTTGAATTCGGAGATCACCTTAGAAAACAGATCGTCGGAGAAAGAGAATGGAGCGGAGCTAAAATTCAGAAGAGAAGTTAATTTTTTTGTTTAAATTGAGCCCTTAAAAGAGCTTAAGTTCGGTTTGCGGACAAGTTTTGAATATTCAAATTTGTCCACAAAATGACAAAAATACCTCTTTGATTTCCATCAAATATTTAACAAACTTCGATTATTAAATTCAATAAAACTATGAAAAATGATTTAATCTTGTAACATACATATTTCTTGAATACCTTTTGCCACTTGATTAGAATATTTTCCAAACGTTAAGGAAATTACATAGATCAGATAAAGAATTTCCTTAGATTCAATAAGACTATAAAAATGATTTAATCTTGTGACATAAGTAACTCCTAAATACATTTTGTCACTTGATTAGAATTTTCCACATATCAAGAGGATTACTCAAGTTAAATAAAAAATTTCATTGATTTTAAAATTTATACGATATAGAAAATAAAAATATACGCTTTGATGCAATTAAAGTATATTGTAGCGTGCATTTCATATATACTGCATGTGCTTTATAATCACTAAAATTGAGAGGAAAGTAAATGATGTTTGCTTCATTGACGTGTGAGACCTAGAAAGAAATTAAATCATTTTATTGATGTTCTTATGACTTTTAACAATATTATGAAGAGATGGACTAGTGTATGTTACTTTAGTTTACATATAAAGGTTATGATAATATGATTTATAAGTGATTCTAAGAGATTATTTTTATAAATTAAAAAAAAAACTAAGTGAACACTTTTGATAGACAATAGAGAATAACATAAATATTCAATTGTCTTGTGGTAATAGAAATATTTTCTCCATAAAAAAATGTGATGCAACATATAAGAGTTTCTGGCCAAAATCATCTTTAAACTATACCCCAAATTTAAACTACATCCTTAAAATATCATTCTTAGCAGAAAACATCCTTCAAGTATTTAAAAGTGAACAATTTTCATCCTTCTACTTGAATTTATCAGAAAACTAACATATCCCATAAAAATCAAGTCATCCCTTTGTAATTATTATTCTAAGATACGTCAAAAATACTATCGTGAACTTTTTTGGAATTGAGTTTAGTATTTTGCAAATCTTTTAATTTAACTGTTTTTTTCATTTATTTTTCATGTAATTTGATATTAAAAATATTATTAGTTGAAATATGTTTCTTCTCAATTGAATATGCTATAAGCGGCGTTTTTTGGAGACTTCCGCTTCTAATAATGTAGAATGAAACTCAAATGCGAGACATAATCGATATTTTGATCACTTCAATATCAAATTGGCCCAAAAATTTATTGATCTAAATACAGTTTGGCTATGAAAAAGGTAAAGATAATTAAGCTTTAGCTTCTTTCCGTTACTATATAAAAAACAGAGCAAATCATGTATCCTCACACCTTCCAAACATTTTTTGTTTTAGTAAGCAATAGTGTCTAAGATTTTGAATATTTTTTCAGGAACTTCTTATAGCGGGTAGTGAAATTATGCAGGAAAACTTTGTTGATAGTCACGTTAACTGCTCATATTTTTGTAGGATCCCTTAGTTTTTTGACGATATCTAACAAAAGGATGAATATTGTTCACTTTTAATACTTGAAGGATATTTTCTGCTAAGAATGATACTTTAAGGATGTAGTTTAAGTCTGGAGTATAATTTAAGGATGTTTTTGGCCAAAAACTCCAACAGATAACACTATTCCTCTTTTAATTAAATCTCGATTTCGAGTCCTAATATTAAAAAATGATTAAAAATACTTTTATTGAATAGATTTTATGCATCGTGTATCTAAATTAATTGAACTCAAATAAATATCGAGGAAAACAAAACTAAAAAAGTGA